TGCATAGGTGGAATTCCACCTATGATCAATAACTTTTGAAATTAACCTGGGTTTCAATTTTTTTCTTTTACAGAATTGTTTTCATTGTTTACGTCTTTGTTCAGAAGCATTATGAACATAAGCTATAACCCTAACATTTTCTATCATGGGTTTAATTTTATTAAATGCACTTTGAACATTTAAATTTAAAATATGACACATGCATCTAATATGAAAAATATCATAATGATATGATAATAGCAAAGATGATTTGATATTTTCTACAGCTACATTATTATTACTTGTATTATCTAGTGAAAGAGAAAATATTTTTTCAAAAATTTTTAATTTTGAAATTTCTTCTATTATTAAATCTACAATATCAACACTAGTGTGTGAATCTTCAAATACAATAAAAGAAATAACTCTTTTAAACATTTGTCAACTATCATCAATCTAGTGTGCTATGTTACATAAATAACCGGTTTGTGCTCTAGATGTCCAAATATCAGAAGTTAGAGAAAATTTACAGTTTAAATTTTAAAAATAAGAAATTATTTTTGCCTGTTCCTCATGATAATATTTTAAAATATCACATTGACAAGATTGACGAGATTTTTTTAAATAAGAAATAAAAATCATCTCTAATCATATCGTCAAATTCACCATCTTCTACTAATTTAAAAGAAATGTTTATAATAACAATAAACCTGATGACGCTATTCTTGGGTTTAATTGAGTCAAGTTCTAAGAAACGAGGCTGTCAGAGGTTGATGATTGGGAGAATAGAGACTAAAGGATGTCTCCTTGAGACGTTATCACTTGAGCTCTACTATACTTTTCTAAATGGCGTTTGAGATGATTGGTGCCACTTTTATGATGAGCTAGGAAAATATGGTCACACAATGCACATTTAGCCTTCTGGGTGAGAAGTTTACCGTGTTGATCATTGGTGACTTCAATCTTCTCGAAAAAATTCTACGTATTGGATCTCGGCCTTTTAGGAGCTTTAGGTGTGGGATTATCACCACCGGATTCGGAATCAACATCAGTAGGAGGAGTAGCTGTAGGTGTAGGACTCATTTCAATATCCGGAGTTGAAACTTGCACTTCATATCGGAGGATGAAGCCATTTGATTCGAGAATAAGAGAGTAATAGAGAATATAAGAGAGTATTAGAGAGAAGTAGATAAGCTTTGGATGAGAAAAACAAATAAAATCTCCCTTTATTTATAAAGGCTGCCCCTAACCAAATAACCAAAATACCCTTAAAATTTAGCCTTTTTTATTGTTTTTGGGTATAGTTTGGTTAAAAGACCAAAAACAGCCATTATAGGCTATTTTGGTCAGAGCGGTCCAGGCCGGGTTCGGGCTGGGCTAGGGCCGCCCTGTCAGCGGTCACAAATGTGACTATTTGGATCGGGCCAGGTCCAAACCAGCCCTGTCTAATAGTCACATTTGTGACCGTTGGGATCGAGCCGGATCCGGGCAGCCCGATCCAACAGTCACATTTGTGACCATTGGACCACAGGCTGTGTTAGACCCTAGAGGGGGGGGGGAGGGTGATTAGGGTCTTATACTAATCTAATCCGATTTTATACCAATTAAAACTTATTAATAAATTATTCTTGCAAGATAGATATACAATATGTTATGAGCAAGAATATACAATATGAACAAAGAGATATATCCTAGCAAAAAGGTATATGATAAAATATATGCAAGGATATATAAATTAACACAAGGGTAAACAATCTAAACTAAAGATACAATTATGATAGGGTAATATAAATAATGCAAATACACAATATGATCATGAAGAAATCCACTATCACAACCGGGTTTTCTACGCTAACCCGAATAACGTTTACACCACACAATATCGGTTTTCAACGCTCACCGATCAACGATCACAATCTCACAATGTAACTACACTCCACACCCTCTAAGTTTTGGTTTCTCCGTGTCCTTCCTCAAGTGCTCGGATACAACTTCTCTCTAGGTTCGTCAACCGACGACACTCCTCTTGGAAGCAACCACGTCTCTCACCACACACTTCTCTCGGTGTACTAGTGTAATAAAAAGTGAATCCTACAATTTAAAGCTCACAAATCAAATGATTATTCTCTAAACAAGGTGAGAACTTAATTAAACATAACTCTTAGTCACAAACCCACAACCCCAAAGTATACTATGAATGTAAATACAATAAGCTCAATAGGTTGTGTGTGAACAAAGAGATAAATCAAAACAAGTCTAAACTCAATTTAATCTAGCAAAATAAATATGACAAGTTAAGCATAAATAAGCTAGATAAAGAGTTTAAGAAAACTTCTCTAAAACAAGAATGAAGGGATGTAGATTGAAGCCCAAACAAGATTGATGATCTCCTCAAACTCTCTTGAAATTCTCTTCACAAACAAACTCTTAAACACTCTTTTAAACAAACACAAAACAAGCTTAAACCTTTGTTAAACTCTTTTAAAACATCTCTTGGTAGTAGAAAATAGTTATGGAAAAAGGGTATATATAGGAAAGAAGAAAACAACCCAAAAAAACCCCAAAACCCACTAAAAAATAAAAATCAGCAAGTTACCGTTACTGTGCAACGGTAACTTCGGCGGTCGACCGTGACGGTCGACCGCGAGAAATAAAACTATAAAACTGCTCTCTGGATTGCAGACGGTCAACCGTGGCGGTCGACCACACTGTAGCATGGTCGACTGTAGCGGTCGACCGCACTGTTCACGGACAGTTTCTGATTGGACAAATTTTGAAAACCACCCGCTTTCAAATTTTATTTAGCAAAACCGACCGTATTAAGATAAAATTAGCAAAATCGACCATTTTCAGATAAAAATGGTCGATTTTGCAGCTGGGGCGTTGTGGCGAAGTGTACGGGACTGCTGGTCCCGTACACTTCATTTTCTTTCTCTTCCCTCTGGCTCTTCCCTCTGGCTCATGACCTCCAAATCCCTCTGCCTGACGAAAAACCCCAGACCCCGCCCTCCTCCGCCCGACGAAAAACCCCAGACCCCTCACCTCCTCTGCCTCCTCTCCTTCCCCACCTACCTCACCTCCCCTACCCCCCTACCCCTCACCTTCTCTGACTCCTCTACATGCTCAAAGTGCTCAACTATGACCACACCTTAGAGCTAAATAGCCATACAACAAGCAGCACGAAAATCATTCAAGAAATACATAACAACTTTGCAAAAATGCTAATGAGAAGACAACCTACAACTATGTGAGCTATTTGCCTGTCAATGGAGTTCTCTATGAGCTCGATAGACAGAAACCGGGTTCAGTTAGCCACGTGGAATGTACTGGTGGACAAAAAGATGAAGCATGGCTGAAGGAGGTGGAGGAGGTGAGGAGGCGGAGGGGGTAGGAGGTAGAGGAGGTGAGGTAGGTGGGGAAGGAGAGGAGGCGGAGGAGGTGAGGGGTCTGGGGTTTTTCGTCGGGCGGAGGAGAGCGGGGTCTGGGGTTTTTCGTCAAGCAGAGGGATTTGGAGCACGAGCCAGAGCGAAGAGCCAGAGGGAAGACAAAACAAAGAAAATGAAGTGCACAGGACCAGCAGTCCCGTACACTTCGCCACAACGCCCCAGCTGCAAAATCGACCATTTTCATCTGAAAATGGTCGATTTTGCTAATTTTATCTTAATAAGGTCGGTTTTGCTAAATAAAATTTGAAAGCGGGTGGTTTTCAAAATTTGTCCTTTCTGATTTTGACAGATTCTGGAATTTTGTATATCTGACTTTATAAAATCAATTAAAAATAGTAAATCAACTGTAAAATCATAAACTTATGAGGGAAGGTTCTAGACATGTATATAAACATGTTAGAGAAAGAATTTCTGAAATATCACTTCCCAGTTGAGAGAAATAAATGTTTGAACACAGATATATAGTTTCTGAAAAAAACTACAGAAAACTCGGTTTTGTAAATTCAATTGAAAATAACAAAACAACTTCAAAATTAGTAAAAGTTGAGAAAATATTTTTATATATGATGATAAACATGTAAATGAAGAAATTTTTCAAATCGCATTTCCCAATTGTGAAAACGCATCATTTTTGCAAAAACATGCACGAACATGAGCTTATTAAAAACTTAATTTTGTAAATTCAAATAAACATAACAAATTAATTCCAAAATTGATAAAACTTTAGGAAACATTTATAAACATGAAATTGAATATGTTAGAAGAAGAATTTCTCAAATTGAGTTTCCTATTTGTGAAAACTCATGTATTTTGCAAGTGTGTCCAAAACATAAAAATGTGATATACATGCAATTTGATGTTTTGACATAAACAATGTTTTGAAACCCTATGAAATAATTTTATAGACTTAATAAAATATGTATACAATGATTGTTAAGTCCATAAACCAAAACTTGTGTATATATATAACTATATATATAAAAACCAAATATGTGTGTGTATATATGATTGAGCTTAAAGTATTAACACACATAATATAAAACCTAAACTAAATATACCCAAGCTTGATAGATCTTCGATGTAGCTCAACTTGGTACACTTACGGATGAAGCTAGAACTTGGATCTTCAATTTGAATTGCATAGGCTTCACTCCACAATTCCGCCAACCTCTATTTGATATGATCGTAAATGCTCGATTCCATCCATCTTCTAACATGTTGCTTGTCTACAATAAATAGAATTATACAACCACTAGACAAATAACATTAGAAGTAAATTGTTTGTTAAACATCATCAAAACAAGAAGGCCAACAGGCTGGGACGGGCTGGATCAGTCCAAATTCTTTCGCCGGGTCCGAGCCTAAGACCGGGCCAGACCTGAACCCGGGCTACCCGGGCCCAGCCATCTTCCTGGAATCCAAGCTTTTCCCAGGCTCGGGCCTCAGGCCCAAATGGACAGCCCTATTTAGACCTAACTGAGTGGAGACCTTAACTTGATTAGTGTGACATTGCCCAAAACACCCTGAAAAATGGGTTGAAGACTTCTTAATATTGTTGGTGTTGTATTCAAAACATCTCGAAACTCGCGCAATTTAAACAACACAAATCAAGTATAACAAAGCTGTGCACCATTAATCAGACAACAAGAAATAAATTTACATAGCACCCAAGGAACAAAAACTTGTCCCAACACACAATTCTTCCCTACCAATCATATACACGACTCATATAAAACCCATCCAAAAGAATCCACAAGCATAGACTCCACCCACATTGTATTTTTTTGTAATAACTACTACCCAAGAATCCTCCTCCCAAGCCACTCTCACCTTGTTCTTCGACTGCCTGGTGATTTCGATGGAGACGATGATTTTGCCTTCGCAAAATCAACCAAGTCCTTGAAAAGGTCACCCTTGGGCTTTTCTGGCTTAGCCATTGGCGAAGCATATTGGTCATCCGCTAGAGTTGAAGCCTCTGGTTTGGTCTTAACTTGGTTCAGAGATAAGTTGTGTGTCTGTGACACCAAACCATCGTAGGAGTTTCCAGATGGTGGAGATTGCTGCTGCTCGAAGAATTGCTGCCTTTGGTTATATTTTGCAGGAGGTGGTGGCAAGAAAGTACCAGATGACTCAGCCTCCCAAAGAGATGTCGACTTTGGACCTTGAATGGGCTCTTTGAATTTGGGCTCATCATCATATTTGGGCGGGAAAGAAGTCTGAACAGGCTCATCATATTTGGGTGGAGAAGGTGGCTTGGGGATATCTAATATTCTTTCTTCGTTGTTGTAGGTATCGCCACTCAAGTAGTCGAATGTGGGCGCTTCTCTTTTGACTGGATTTTTTGATGATGGGGGTGGAGGAAGAAAAGGACTTCGGTATGTCTGCTCATTCTTGGGCACAGAAGGCTTCTTATCTTGTGTGGTTCTGCTATCTCTTGAAGTCCTGGTATCATTTGCAAATGATCAATTTGAGCTGGTAAAGAACGCATATGATTGATCCTAATGAAAACCATTTGTAAATAAAGACAAAGTAACAGCTTCAAATTATGTTTTGTTCAACAGCTTATTACTTTCCTTTTAGCATCGGAAAGAAGTCACCTCCAACGGCTTCAGTTTACTTATTTGTGTTAAATAAGGAGGCACAAACAAACAGTTAAAGAATCACTATTCCTTTGTCATGTACATTGTTGTAGATATTTGAACTTAAAGCATGTTCAATTTAGAGGATCTTTGATGGACAAACACAAGTTGTAGACTCCCGTGTCCATGTCCAGCTCATGTTTCACCCTGACATATGCAAGATAAGCTGGACATGTCTGAAACATATTTGTCAATATGTTGTCGTAAATATGTTATGTTTCTAAATAGATTGTTTTTTGTATCTTCTGGATGTTATCTTGTGGTGATGGTGATTAATTTTCAGCATGATATTGGATTTCGAGATGTTGCATCTTGTTTTTGTCAATTTTAATCTTATATCATGTCTTGTCGTAATTCATATTGCACAAATTTTCACATACAACATGTGTGCGCCGCAAGCAAGCGTGCGCGCACACGAAGCTGACGTGTCTTCAAGATCTTGCATACCTGTGTATCCCTTTCTGGATATATTTGTGTCTACAGAACATAGAAGAGGAGGAATGTAGGACAAGGCATTCAACTTCAAAAAAGAATGTTAGTGATTCCAACAAGACACCTTATGCAACAGCCTCTAGTTTCACAAAGCTTTTTAATTTTTCCGTTCATTAAGTTTATTCTTATGTTGGAATCCATACTTAACATCTATTAATAGTTTGTCTTTCGTGACATTTTTTATACTGGATCCACATTGTACTTTTTTACCTAAGCTCTGAAATATATCCATCTTTAATGGGTAAACTAGAAGGCTGATTGAAGGATTAGAAGAATAATCATGAATTATTACCTGCGAGATAGCAGAGAGAACTCATCATCTTCTGACTCATCATCCTCATGATTCATGTTAAGAAGAGGAGCAGCTGAGGTTGCAGCAGCAGCAGCTACTGTAGGAGTGTTCTTCACCACATTAGGAGTCCCCTTCACTATGTCATCATGCTGCTGGAGTACACGCTGCAAATCATCATTTAGAGCCAGTCCCTGAAATAGAAGTTGCTCATCGCTGCATAATGTTTACCCAAAAAGGTCAAAATTATACAGTTTAAACTCATGATACCATAACAAGACACTAAAACATTCATACCCAGTACTATTGACAAGAGCCATGACCCGCTTCTGATAGGAACGACACTGCTCAACTAGGTCAACAATAATTTCTTCTTTTACACCCTGTAGGAAGAAGGTAAGCACAATAAGTAACCCGGTAAGTTATTCCCAGATGACAGTGAATATTGTCAAGAACTTTATAAAGTCATAGCACAAAGATTAAGTATGAAAGCGCGCTACATGAAATTAGAGCATGCAAGCAGTTTAACTTTTAACTTAACATCTCATCCTGGTTTCAATGAACTAACAAGAAGCTAGACATAAAGTTAATAAAAAGGTCCTTTATTTAGATAAACTAATAAAGAACCTAACTTCTTGTATTAGTGCCATTTTTTGTTTTCAATTAAACATAACCAATTAAATCTCTTTAGGTGAAGAAGAATTTCCAGTTTCCAGAAATATTAACTTGCCTAAACAAGTCGAAATTGAATACTGTTCAATCGTGAAATGGCTATTGAACAACATAGATGAAAGATATAGGATAAAGTGAATTTATGAAAGCCAAATTTAAATGAAAGAATAATGGTGTTATCACCTGGCAATCTCAAAAAATGTGAGGTCTAAGATCAATTACTTAAGCAGTGTAAGAGTTAAGAACCCACCCCTGGATTATGAGGATCTAAGGCACTGAGCATTTCTGTTAGCACAGCTCCTATGCCTCGAGCATTTTGCATTTCCTCCAAGCTAGACAGAAATAACAGGATAATATTAGAATATGATACCTCAAACTAAATAAGAAAGCATTTCTCCAGCAAATTATTTCATAGATAATATTAATTCACAGAAGGATAATAAAAAACAGAATAAATTAAGTGGAACTACATCTCAACAGATTATGGCATATTTCCAGTTTCCGAAAAACTATACGCAAAAAAGAAGCGTACAATTGAAGATAATATGAGCAACTATGAGCTTCCAGGTTGAGAACTATACAAGGGTTTTGTAGAATAAGCACCTGAGAGCAGAAGCATCAATCTGAAGAGAAGCTTCTAAAGGGACATCCTCATATGGTGAAGCAACAGACTGAGGAACAACTGGATGAGTCTGAGGAGGTGTAAACAAAGGTGCACTGTTTTCTGTACGGGGCGGAAATTCCACTCCAGTAGCCTGTCAACAGCAATATAATGAACTACTTTCAATAGCATAATATGAAGTATCGAGAAAAAAAATACAAACATGATTTCCAACTCACATCAAACATAAAAGTTAAACATTTGGTAACACAATTGGGTAGATGAGAAGACAAATAAAATTTACACAATAAAAAAGTTAGCAAGCTTCCAATGACCAGCCGTCGTTCATTTCAAGCATTAGGATACAGAAGAATGCATACATATAGAAAGGAGAAAGATGTGTACAAATATCAAGAAAGGAGAAAAGAAAAAGACAGATAAAAAAAACATACCCTTAATTCTTGGTACGCAGCATAATACTGCGGATATTTCCCTCCTGCTCCTCCAAAAGCATCTTGCCATGCATCTATGAGAATCAATATCTTTTCTCTTACATTTAAGTCTGGCTGCACAAGTATGGCAGTTTTTCAGATACATATTTACAAAATAGAGGTGCATAAGAGGTAAAACACAATCAATAAGGTGTGAAATATGAAGTAGAAAATGTACCTTCTTCTTCACTATTTTCACCATGTCATGCAAGATATCACATTTGACAATTTGTAAGTGAACATGCTCCCCACAGTTTTTACTTAGGGTCTCCAGAACCTGCATAAGCAATTCCAAGATCAGGTTCACACGATGGATAAGGATAGTAGAGCATATAAGTTGATACTATATTGTTCTTATTATATATATAAACACGATCATTCATTCCCTATGTGTTCATGACACTATATGGTTCTGTTCGATGGTTGTGCAAAAAGGCTCATCAATTGTTATTTTTGAGAATTGTTCTTGCATGGCTGGTGTAAACAAATTAGAAATCTACAAAAATAAACCTCAGCGTTTAGTTTCTTTGTGCATATGGAGATAACTGGCATGCCCATCTGACATCTGATTCCTTTAAGCTACATAAAGTTACTTCAACATGCTACAAATCATTAAATTGGTATATAGTAACCGACCTTCCAAAGCGCCAAAACAACCGCAATCTGGCAAATTATTCTAGATATTTGAAACAAGGCCTTGGATCATCTTTTAAATGCAACAAATTCCCTGAGCTTCAGAATAGTACACTATTAACGTAAGTACACTACTAACGTAACTTGTGCCAAAAAGCAATAGCACCTATGTCTTTGACACATTTATATGATTAACTTTGATAGTTGTATAGGAAAATGTTAGAAATTATTACATTGAAAAATTTTCTCCATGGTTAGCATTAACAAACTAGAAATTACAAAATTTACTGCAGTTCGTCTCTTGACACCTGGTTACCATTGACATGCCTACTTAAAAAATGTTTTCCACTTCATTACGTACTCCGAGCAAGCAACTTCTACATATAGTATAAACCTACATATGGTGTAAACCATCTGAAATCCATTGGTATACGGAGCTTCTACATATAGCAAATTACTTCTGTGAAAAATTGGAAACTCGGATCACTGTTTTCTTAGATCATCTTATAAGAATGCATAGCAAACTGAGCACACAGAAACTTCTATATATTTACCAAAAAACAATTGCATAGATATGAGAGGCATGGATGTATAGCTTAGAAAGAATGTGAAAGTCTCCAAAGAGAAGGTATCACATATTTTTCTACAGTCACGCTTCATTGTAGCGATACATCCACAAGGAGGATATTAATACAAAAATAATGTCATAATGACTGACATGATTTCTCCCAGATATTAGAGATTAATAATAACTACAGTCATGCTTCATACTCACAAAGAGCGCAAGAAGTTGTATTTGTGGGTTTTTACTTCCTAAGCGCTTCTTAAGCACCTTAAGGGCGTCCTTTGCTTGCCTGCACTTCATCAGAAAAGATCATAAATAAGGATTTTGGAATATAATTATTCATAAGATAATGCTTCAACTGGAATGGGAAAGAACAGATCATAGTAATTGAGCAAAATCTTAAATCTAAAAAAATATAACTACAAAAATAGAATTCCTTGTGTGGGAGGCGAGTGACCATGATGCTCCTCTCAGCGGAGATAAACTTGTAGAGACAACAAAATAAACTGTAAACTAAGATATTGATGCAGAAACGAGCACACTGCCTTCATTTACTATCATTCATGGAGGTCTTTTAACATGAGTGCAAATGTTGTTGTATAACCAGCCTAAACTATGACCTTTTTGGATCTAGAAACATCCTAAAGTCTGCTTTTGTAAATAATCCATGGGGAAGAGATGACAGTTTGAGAGAGTTGAATAGAGATTTTCAAATTGAGGAGGTAAAAGATGCAGTCTGGCAATTAGGTGAAAACAAGGCACTAGGTCCAGACGATTTTCCAATTCTCTTCTACAAAACTTTCTAGGATATTGTCTGTGAATTTAGGGAACAACTAGACTTGATAAGATTGACACTCTCATGTTGTTCTCATCCCTAAAATCCCTTGCCCACAGCATGTAGGTGAATTTAGGTCCATCTACTGTCTAAACGGATTCCTAAAAATCATCTCTAAGGTTCTTGCAAATCGACTAAGTACAAAACTTGGAGACTAGATTGGTGAATCCCAATCTGGTTTTGTGACAGGAAGATATCTCTTGGACGGGATAGTCACAGCACAAGAGGTGATACACTATAATAAGTATAATAAAGAAGAATATCTCCTTAAATTAGACTTTGAAAAGGCATATGATATGGTGGACTAGGATTGCCTTTTGGAGGTCCTCTCTCTAAGAGGTTTTGGGTCAAAATGGATGGCATGGATTAAATCTTGCCTATTCTCGGCAAGGTTATTAATAGCAGATAGTGTCATGTAGTGGTGAGGCGACGCGTAGTGGTGAGGCATCGCTACTTGGGGCTATTGCGGCAAACTAACGGTAAAAAACGAAAAGTCAAATAGGGGTCTAATTTAGATATATATAAATATTCAAAAAAATAAGAAAAATTAGAGAAAAATATAGAAAATCTAATAGTGCATATTTGATGATTTAAAGATATCATAATTATGAAATGAACATGTAACTGTCACATAATACCGAAGACAACTGGAGGACTCAAAGAGTCGTCATTTTTGAGAAGATGAGCTGAAAGGTGAGAGGACTGTAGTATGAGGAGCTGACGGTGAGAGGAGGTGAGAGGAAGTGCTGAGGGAGGTGCCGGAGGCTATAAGAGATTAGAAAGTGCTGAGGGAGGTGCCGGAGGCTATAAGAGATTGCGAGAATACGTCGGAAATCGTGAGAGGCAGTGGGATGCCGTGGTTACGGGTCAGGTTTAATTTAAAAAAATAAACCCCAAACCGCTTTTAAATAGCGGTGAAAAAACAGATTTTGCCCGCAATCGCCAGCTATTCACTGCTACGGCGCGCTATTGGCTGCTTTTGCGAGCAGAAAGTGCATATTTCGCAATATGTTTTCACTATTGGGCGATAGCATAGCGGGAAGAGACCGCTAACGTTATTAGCACCGCTATTTACTGCTATTTATAATAGTGATTCTAGGCAAATATTAGCATAATACTCAATGGATAACCTGGTAAAGAAATCATCTGCAAGAGGAGTCTTAGGCAGGAAGACCCATTATTGCAATTGCTATTTATTTTAGTTGCTGACGGCCTCAACATTCTGCTTAACAAGGCGAGAGGACTTATGGAAGGTATGCGTGCGGGTGGCAATACCTACACCTATGTCAACCTATAGCATGCTGACGACACACTTTTGTTAGGTAGAACAAATGTAGCTAAGATGACCATTGTCAAATGGATCCTGTGTAATTTTGAGCTTTGGTTAGGGCTGAAAGTTAACTTTCACAAAAGCTCAATTTTATTCTTAGGCGATAGGATTATCAACACAAAGTTGAACAAGAAAACTTTAGGTTGTCCCTAGAAAGAATTTGCACTATCATACTTGGGAATTCCCATCAGACTAGGCAGATTGAGAGAACAAGATTGGATTCCCATGATCGAGAGGATTAAGCAAAAACTGGAAGGGCGGAAAGGGAAACTTCTATCTTTAAGAGGAAGGATAACTTTATTGAATGCGTCTTTATCAGCTACACGTTTATACTACCTTTCCTACTTTGAGATGCCACATTGGGTTGAGGCAAGAATCAAAAATATTAGAAGATAGTTCCTCTAGAAACATAATAGGCAGGACAAGGGAGGATGCAACCTAGCTTGTTGGGGACAGGTTTGTCGCTCAAAGGAAGAGGAAGGTCTTGGTATGTTAAACCTTCAATATATGAACAAAGCAATGGTTGCACATTGATGGTGGAAAATCTTGGCACAACCCTCAGACACTATTACCTCTTTGTTGTCACATAAATATGGTTCAAGATCTGCACTGTAGAACCCGACACGTAGAGATTTTCAAACCTATTCTAGATTTCAGAATGGAGTTGCTAATGTGTGGGATGCATTCCAGGCGGAAATTAATTTCTCGCTCGGCAATGAAACCCACTTTAGATTTTGGAATGACAGATGACATGGTGAGTTAACTCTACAGCAATTATTCCCTAATTTTTTCTTCTTTGCTAGGGAATCTAATGCGTCTGCGGCTTCCCAGTGAAGGAGGACTAGACGGTGTCCTAATTTTAACAATATACCCTCAAGTCATATTCGACAATAAAAACAAGACTTACTTATGCTTTTACCTGATTAGAAACCCAATAATAATAGGCAAGATGTGCCGGCGATGGGAGCCTAGGAAATCTTTCAAGGTTAGGTCCATGTATAGATTTCTTAATTTTAGTGGGTATGTATCAGCAACCGCTAAGTTGGTATGGACCTCTAGAGCACCTATGAAAATTAGAGTCTTTTGTAGCTCACCATTAGAAATGTCATCCTAACATGGGATAACCTGATGAAGCGTATCTGACAGTGACCTAATGTATATGTCATTTATCTTTCAAATGCTGAAACAGTAGAACATGTATTCCTCCATTGTTCTTTCACGAATGTTCTTTTGGTCAATATTAGGTTGTACCTTGATGGTGTTGAATAACCTAGATATTTATGTGATATTTGGTTTGCTTGGAGCAGGGCTAGGATTAAAAAGTCAAATCTATCTTTATGGTGCTTAATTACAACAACTTCTTGTTAGGTAGACTAGCGTGAAAAAAAAATAGAATTTCTAGAAACAATGCAAGATCTGCATCACATATAATTCTTCGCATGATTGCTGACTTTTCTCTCTGGTAGTTTCGCTATCAGAGGAAGTGAGGGATGGAGCTATTGCACGATTAGCTCATGCCAACTTTTGCCGTCATGTGCATGATGACTACGATGATCAACAGGTTGTAGGGCATGATGCATCGACGGGCGATCATGGGGGTGACTTCTATAGCGAATAGTCCCTCATCTAGCTTACGCACTCTTCTACCAAGCTTCACTATAAATATTTTGCGCATCAGGCCTTTTGTATGATTATAATTTTGATATTTTGTGAGGGAAATGCTATATTTGTATCTATATGTTTCGTTAAACACTTTTAATGAAACGCGGGGGATCTCCCACCATTTTTATAATGATAAAAAAAACCAGTCTAAACTCTACCATAGTCATGTGAGCTTAGGTGTTGGAAAAAGACAACTTAGAAGTAAAGATAAACTAAGAGAGCAAACTAAGTGACACTTTACTAGAAGATTAACATGCCTTCGGAAAATGACTAGGAGTCTAGGACAAATACTTTGCTTCTCAAGACAAAGAAAGCTCTAATAAAGTATGTTGTAAATTTTAAGTAAGCGTGAAGCAATTGGATGAAAGTGAGATGCTTTTTCCTTCAAGATACAAAACCTTCCCTTGTAGCTCAATGCAAAAACTAGTAACAAGATCACATAAACACCATCTGTTGGAGGCCCTTTTCCAGTATGACTGCTTCTTATTTCAAACAATACCCAGTGTATTATGACATCTGTTATCTGCTTCAACTACCAGATACACGGCTATAGCTTTTTCTCCTGAACTAAGCTGTGTTACAACAATCTCAAAGCTTAAACATCAAATGCAGCATATGACAATCCGAGTACAAGCTAAGCAGTTACTCCATTCAAGGATATCCTAATTGCCTATCATATACAAGCCCTCCGCATCAACATCTACAAGAGTTAAACTTGTCGTTTGGCTTGAACTATAAACAAAATTATGCAAAACGGTAGTGGAAAATAACATGTCTCGATTTACAGGATATATCACGGGCATTTGATCGTCATTACCTACAATAATATCTTTGTTCAATTTAACCTAAAAGACCACATGGTTGAGCTACAACTCTAAATGATCAGTAACTAGGACAGACAAACCAAAACCTAATCTGAAAATCTTTCCAAGTGTATCGTCATTGATATCGATTATATTACATATTATGACTTTCCAAATACCATCCAATGCAAAGTTTATATACATTTTATCTCCCAAAAAACAAGTACAAAATTGACCTTTTATACATAAAGACGAGGTAGTGCTGATCTACATTTATCAATTCAAGAAACAACCACAATACCTAAGCTCACAAACTAAAATCCTAGGGAGCAAAAATCCAAATTTAAATCAAGGAACCACATCCATTTCCAATTTCTGGTCTTTTTCTTCATAAAGATGATAAGAGTGATAATCTACTCAATAATCCTCCTTATTCTTCCAATTCAAGAAAGACCCACATAACCTAAGCTCAAAGACTAAAACCCAAATCATAAAAGTCCAAAATTTTGAACAAAGAATCATACCCAGGATCCATATTGATAATGTCACAGAGCTCAATATTCACAGCCCAATCAGGCCCGATCAGCATATCGCTCGTCGCCCTCTCAGCACACGCAGCCCCACTGCTCTCCATCTGCACGAAGTCGAAACAGAAAAATCAAAAATTGGAAGATTAGATCCCAAATTAGGGGAAATTGAAACAAGTATCAATTCAAATAACGCCAGCAACTTACAATTTTGTGAGTTTTTGATCCGATGTGAGAAAGAGAAAGGCAGAGATCAGATTAGAGAGAGAGAGAGAGAGAGAGAGAGAGAGAAACGAGAAAAGATTCGTTATTTTCTTTTTCTTTGTTTGGATCGTTGGTTTTTGTTTGTGGGTTCACCGTTGTTCGGGTTTAAGAGAGAGAGGGGGGTTGGGTTTGAGCCCGAGTCCCAATTCAAAAGGGTGTCCTTGGATTTTTCTTTTTTATTTATTTGAGTTTTGCTACGAGAACACAAAATATGAGACCGATAGGGGAGACATGTGATCTGTCCCCCTCCTATTACGTAATGAGCTGATCATCATTAATTAAATATGACAAACTCATTATGCAATAGGAGGGGGACACCTCACATGTCCTCCTGTTGGTCCTATATTTTGAGTCCTTGGAGAATTTTTTATTTACTTAGAAGAGTGTATTTACTTGTTTATACTTACATACACGCGTGCTGGCATTTGGAGAGATAATAATGGATCTCAAGAAAAGAAATTCAGATAAATTTGATGGAACCAAATATATATACAAGTGGAATGTTATTGAGTTGGGGAGAAAAAATCATATAGAAACTATTTGGTAAAAAGTTAATTATATTTCGCTCGAAAAAGAACAAAAAAACAAAAAAAAAAAAGCAAAGCTTCCTGTCTTTGAAGAGATTTATCTGCCTAAGAGCTGCCAATAATCGTTAATTTGATTAACTTTGTGAAAATCATTCATCATAACTCAAAGAAAAACTTGATACGTTCACTCGAATGTTCCCTTTTTCTTACAAAAATGCATGTAGTTGAAGAAGTAGAAATAGGTGTATGCTTCTAGTATCTAATGGTATACCTCTATGAGCTTGTTCTTACTTGTTCTTCAAAAAACACAACATTTATATTTAATTTTGTACTTGTGCACATTTAAATGCTATTTGAAGCTGGAAGCTAGTTTTGGCTTGGACATTTTCAGTGAGTATACGGTAATTAATCGAGTTAAATGCACAACATTAGAAGAAAGCACATGCTTGGCATATATGATCATGAAGAACTTATGCAGTAGGCTTGTTTTTAAACCTTAATCCAAGTGATAACCAATTCCTGGCCATACGTCAGAATATGCCAAATTTGAGCATGTTTGCTGAAAATTTTACATCTGAGGCCTTTGACATGTTCAAGTAACCAAAATATTAAACTGAGTTTTAATATTGATGCTTAGAATCTTGGTGTTTGGTTGAGAACAATGATGACTTAGTTCAACTTGTATGTTTGGTTGAGAACAATGATGCTTAGAATCAAGTGATCAACCGACTGAAAACAAACTTTCAACTGTATATCATCCAATTAAGTTTCAGCATTAAGTTTCCTTTTTCTCAGCTGACTGAAACCTTTTGTTATACTTCTCACTTGTTAGATGTCTCAACTGCAAATACATGCAACTCATCGACTGCAAATAAGTCTATTTACGATGGATAGATAATACGTTTATTAATGCATTCAGATAACTTCTACAATCAAAAGAATTTATATTCCATGATTCTCTACACAATCAGATGTCTTATGGTATCGTACGTGATAACCACGCATAAAAAGCATTGCATGATCTACTACATCCACTGGCAACTTATGAAAGTCACAGATTGCTCATGAGTCCTAATATTGATTACAATAGGTTAAGCCGATATCATGCTTCGAAAAACAAGAACACTGCACATTCTGTGCTGTATTCTGCTCCGAAAATTAACCATCACCTCAGCGTATGAAATCGAACATTTGCAGAACGAAAACAAGGATCGATAACAAGGAAATCCTCATCGATTTTGTCCCTGTTTGATAATTACTCGCTTGCTGCCAGTATTCTACTTCCTGAGGATTTTATGTGTCATATTTGAGTTTGTTTCAGTGTTTTTAGTTCATCGATCCTTGGATATCTTATATTATGGTTCTTCCCAAATTTCATTCATGACCTTCTGTAATATAAAAAAACTATGAACACCTTACATTCAACTCATTTAACTGCATATAAATCTAACAAAGACAGATAACTGTTTACAAATGCACTCAGATGCTTTTCTTTGAAAAATACATTCAGATGCTTGCACAATCCATCTTCTACACTGATTTATTCCAAAAAATCTATGTTCCATAAGTGTCTACAGCATCAGATGTCTCTTATGCTATCATACATAAATACAACACACTATTTTAAAGCATTTCATGATATACTACATCTACTAGTATCTTGTGGAAATCATAAAGTGCTCAATGAGTCTGACATCGATCACAAAACTCAAGGCGATATCATGCTGCGCGCTTCATAAAACAATATTAATACTGTACATTCCGCGCTGCAAAGCTCTGGAACTAATAGCCATCAGCATGTAATGAAAAACATTCCCAGAGCGAAAACAAGAGAAGTTACGTACAAGGATATCCTCATCGATGCTTGATAACTTTTTTTTTTTGTAAACTCTCCATTTATTTACTTTACCTTGACTGGAAGAAGGAATAACAACCCGTCAATTTCCTGTAAAAAAAATCGATGAAATTGTTCAGAAAACATTTCATCGTCCATGGAAATAATGTTCATTGTTGTCAGAGTTATGAACCTGCAGGAAATTCTAGCATCCGATTTATTTCTATGTCAGATACTTAATTAATTGATCGATAAAACTGTTACTATTTTTGAAATCTTTGGACCTACTCTGCTTATTCCAAAGCATCATGTTATTATCATGTGGGAACAAAAGAAAACTGCATAGAATCAGATTAAAATTATCAATTATTGAACTATTACACGGAAAAAATTGTCTCTTTTGAGTGGATTAAAGCAAAAAAAAAAAAACATCTCAAATTAACTGAGAAGCTTATCATATTAGGTATTAGTTCCAATTTTCAATCAAAAAAAAGTACAGAAAAATTAGCCTCTTCTCCAAGATCTAAATCAAAAAAAAAAAAAAAAACATCTCGAACATGTACATGCCTATAATTTTTGAAATAAACACGGCGATTTCCCAACTTAATCTCGAAAAAAAGAAGCTTAAATTACCTGTTAATGCTTCTTTTTCCTCCTCCTCCTCAACTCGTTGCCGTCTGCTGAACAGCTACTTCCGCGCTGCTACTCAAAATAGGCTCGACTCAACACTCACGCTTCTCTATCCACGCTCCTCTCACGGCCCGTTCTTCATCCCGCTCCGGCGCGGGCGGCTGGCGGACCCTTCGAGAAACTTCTCTCACGCGTCCCGACGCTCATTCTCCCCTTCAGAAACCCGGAATTCTCGCGACGAAATCCTCAAGCGCTCAACGCCCTGATAGCTCCGCACTCTGGCTCTGCTGACGTCGCTCGCCCCGCCACGTCTCTCCTTCTTGTTCCTCCCTCCCTCCTCTCTTTTCTTCTCGTCGTGCCTCTTCGGCTTATCCTCCTCCTCGGTCGCTGCAGACCGGGGTCGTGACCCTTCGGGACTCCACCATGTCCTCAGGACACGCTCGTACGCCGTCTCGGGCTCCCCCGAACCAGATCCCAGCTCTCCTTCCTGTCTGGGAGATCAAACCTGTGCAACTCGTGCAGCGTGCACCTCGCTGCGCCGTGCACGTGCACGGGGGAGCCCCCGCCGAGCGCCGCTGCTCTTCACACAGCGCTCCGGCGACGGGGTGCCTCGAAGCCGTCCTCTTCGCTCCCGTCGGGGGCCTCTGCGCGTCCACGGGCCGAACTTGGCGTCCCCGGGCTTCGCGAAGTAGCTGGGCCGGGCTTTGATCTTCTCGGCCCATTTGTCGTACTCCGACTCCGTCGAGGGGTTCGGGCCGGCGTTGGAGAAGGTGAAGGTACTGCCGACGGTGGGGTTCTGCCGCTGGTGGAGGGTCATTGTGGGCGTTGGTGGTGAACCTTGCTTCTTCTTTTTTTTAAATTATTTTTTTGTAGGCGTGTCTACTGCCAAAGTCTCTTATTAACGTCCCAAAGTCTAAAATTAATGTGATTGTAAACCTTCTTTGGATTTGCTTGGGGGTCTAAAAGTCTTTGGTTTCTAGATGGGTGATGACGTCAGTGCTGTTGGTGCGCTTGTTCGTTATCTTCTCTCGTTAAATTTTTCTTGTTTTGTTGCTTTTGTTCTAGAATGGACAAATTTTGAGAAGAGCTCCTTTTAGAAACTTATTTTTTTAAGAAAGACTCTTTTTGAATATATTTGCTATTTTCGACCCTGTTTCAACCACCTAGATGAAAGTGGCGACAAAACACCAAAAACTTCACGGAAATTTTTAAATCCCGTGAAGTTTAAGACCTCATTAGCGCTGAGGTCTTAAATGAGACCTTAAGCTTCACGGGATTTAAAATCTCATAAAGTTTTTGATATTTTTTTCACCATTTTTTGACCTAGTTTCAGCCAGGTGGCTAAAACTGAGTCGAAAATGACAAATATTTCCAAAAAAGGTTGTTTTTTGAAATTAAGTTTCTAAAGGGATCTATTTTAAAAATTTGTCCTTCTAGAAATGGGCAGAGGTAACATGAGAAGGTTGTGTGACAAAAGGTTGTCCTTACATAAAATCTCTGAAATATTATTTATCAAAATAAAAATGGATATTTACCAATCATCTCCTTAATTGGTGACATCGTACCGTTCTTTATCCGCTACTTCTACGTTTGGAATGAGCCGAACGGGAGCAGGTTTTGAAGTGTACTTAGAGACGTATACATTTTTTGTGGTCTGAATGTACAACCATCTAAGCATCGCCTTACATTGGATTAATAGACGATCAATTCATAGCAGATAAAGAGTAGAACCTCAGGAGGGTATAGAAATTCATGAATAATAATAATGTGGCGACAGCAGGGTCCGCTGAGTACGTGTTTCGTAGGTTGGGTTTTGTAATTCAGAAAGGATTAGAGGCGCAGCTTGTTGCCCACTTGTCATCATCACATGTGTAATATTTTATTCTTAACAAATTAAAAGCAATTCAAACCAAAAAAAATAGAACCTCTAGGATTACATATATAGATCCCCTAAATTGCGGAATTTGGAGAAAATTTTAGGTCAAATAAAACTTTACCATGTATAGAGGAAGTTTAGCTTTTTTAATGATGTTGTATGGAAGTTATAAACTTTGAAATACAACCACAACTTTAGCTTTCTTTTGTCCTCGTTTCAATTCTTTTCATAGAATTTGGTGAACATGTCAACATCAAAATCCTACGTGTTCAGGGCTCTAAATCTTGTGGCGTATAAAGAAGTCTAGGTTCTTTTGGCTAACTATTCTTTTATATGTTAAGTGTGATTTAAAATCTAATATATCATATTTTAATTGAATTATTAAATCTTAGTTTTCTTTGTGAGTGAATGATATGATAACGATTTGGTTACGAACGATACAAGCAAAGTTCCCTTTTTAATCTTTTTACTCGTGGGTAAATATTTATATACTAATCCTACTTAATCTTCTTCTAGATGACGGTCATTTTAGGGGATTTGGACTAAATATTCAATTGAAAATAAAGTCTACACGGTTTGCCAACTTATTGGATTCGGGTCTACCGAGATTTGACCCGAACCAAATTAAATTTGACTCGAGACTAAACATTAAGACGAATCTAATCACTTTGCCTAATCTCTTCTGAATTCTCAATCTAGAAGAATTTTGGAAACTTCCTTGGCTATTGCATGAGATAATGCTACTCTCTTCGACATAGGCTTGGTTTTAGGGCTAATTGTATGTAGACCTTATGTATTAGCGTGACGTGTCACTTATTATCAAACTTAAGCGAATAAGTGGCATAATGCGAGAGTATAGAGGGTCTATATACAATTAATTATTGATTTCAGGGTATACATCCCTCAATTTTCATCACAAATTTAAAGTTTTGATACCGTAGAAAAGACGGTTAACATAGCATCACATGAAGTCAAATAAAAGTATACTTCTAAATCCCTAAGGCAACTTTTTTGATGAGGCACGAAGGCTCATGCTTCCTTCATCGTCACTGAAAATAGTCCCTATAAAGGTAAAACTTCTATTGGAAAAACAAAATTAAGAAACCCATCTTAAGGATGTAAAGTAGGCTGTGTCCAAAACAGCCCGTGCCACGGCCGGCTCGCCGGCCGCGGAAACCCGGCCAAGTCGGCGCTTCGGGCGTCTTTTTTGCCGGCCGGAATAGTGAGTTTTTTTATTTTTTTTATTTTTTTATGTAATATTTATATATGTATACTATAAATATTAATATAGTATTATATTATAGTATATAATATATTTTATATATGTATAATATAATTATATGATATACTATAAATATTTTCTATCATGTTGTAAATATGTCATAAATGTGTGTGTATACTATACTTTCTCTTAGTATAACGGTATATATATAAGTAATACACTCTCTCATTATGTCAGTATATATAAGATATAAGTATACTATAAGTATATTTTCTCTATCATTAAGTATATTATAAGAATACTACTCTCTTATCATATGTATCAATGTTGCCATGTATGTATACTATATACTCTCTCTTAGTATATATGTATATATAAGCTATCTCTCTCTTATATATGTATACTCTCTCTTATATAATATATTTCTATATATGTATAAATGTCATATGTGTCATTCTATAATATATTACTCTCTTTAGTATTATACTAGGTCATATATATAGTATACTCCTCTTATATAAGCTTATATATATTAGTAAGTGAATATTTATAAGTAACTTTCTTGCTTATATCAGCTAATATATATACATATATATATATATATAATATATAATAGCATACTGCTCTTTTAGTATATATGTATATATAAGTATACTCTCTCTTATATATGTATACTCTCTCTTATATAAGTATATATTAGTATACACTCTCTTATATATGTATAATATATGTGTATGTGTATATATATATATACTAATATACTCTCTCTCTTAGTATATATGTATATATAAGTATACTCTCTCTTATATATGTATACTCCCTATTATATAAGTATACTCTTTTATATATGTGTGTGTGTATACTCTCTCTCTTAGTATATAAGTATAGTATATTACAACGGTTACTTCCCCATTGGCCCAACGAGCAACGGCTACAGGGTTACTTATGCGATTCTCTCTCTCTCTTAAATTATAACTTATAAATATATACAATATATTTACATATAATATATGTATATATAATATATAGTTACATAATAATTTAGAAGTATATACTAATACATAATTATATAAAATATAATAATATTAAACTAATTTTTAGCATTTTTATCAAAAAAAAAAGAAAAGAAATTTAAAAAAACCTAGGTGGGATGTACTTATCTATTGTGATGCGATGAATTCCAAAATAAATTTATACTTGTAATTTGTAAATGATTTATTAATTATTAATAAAGAATTTATTTTTATAATTTTTTATTTGTAATTTATGTCATTTTAAGTGATTAATAAAATTATTTTTTTTATTATTTTTTTGTCTTTTTTTATAATTTAAAACTTAAATAAAATTTAAAAATTTGAAAAAAAAAATTTAAAAAAAAAGAAAAAACTCGGGCCGGCCCGGAACCCGGCCCGGTCGGGCCCGGACCCGGCCCCGGCCCGGGGTACCCGGGTCCAGGTCCGGGCTCCGGTTTTGCCCGGCCCGGGGTACCCGGGTCCAGGTCCGGGCTCCGGGTTTGCCCGGCCCGGGCCGGCCCGGATGGACAGGCCTAGGATGAAGTTTGGCATTTCCTTTAACTAGTGTACTGTCCGTGCAAAGCACGGCGATCATTTTTTTCCACGCTACAATAATCATGTTTTTAAATGCTGCAGCAAGCTTTTTTTGAATTACTACAGTATCCTGCGTTTTTTAAATTATTGTAGTATACCCGTGCTACGGTATTAATGATATAGTATTTTCAAAGAACGCTATACTTCACGCCTCTGTTACAATACTTTTTCTTTTAAAATGCTACAATATCCCATGTGCTATAATAATAATACCGTATTAAAATTTATTGTAGTATTTACTGTAGTATAAACAGTGAACTTTGATTTTCTCATTTGTATGGAGGAGTAGATATGCTATTAGAGGGAGGAATAACCTAAACCAATAGTCAAGATGGTACTTGTCACTTGACAAAGATTTT